ATGTCAAGATTTCCATTGGCTTCAGTGGATATGGGTTTGGACCCTTTACTAAGAGTTGAAACAAAGTACCCATTTCCTCTAATGAGCGTGCCAAAGAGCTAACCTGTTTTAGTCTCCCCTCCTGTGGGTAAATACTACATCAGGCTGTTTGACTGCTGAATCTATGAATAGGATAACAGGATAAAGTAAAACCATTTTTTCTTTTACCCAGGGACAAAGTAATCATTGATAACTCAGTTATAACTCTTATAAGCCAGGGTGAATCTGTCTAGTTTATTCTCAGTTTCATTCATTAGTGTCTGGAATTCAGTACTGCAATAATCAAATGTAATATTTGCGTAGGGATTTCTCCAGTTGGTACAGGAAACACAAAATGGTTTGTGAGTGTGTTGCTGGAAGCTTATTGTGCTATCAAGTCACTTACGCATAATGGTTTGTGATTATGCTGCTGGACACTTACTGTGACACCAAGTCACTTGTGTCAAAGAAGCTTGATGTCCTACTCAGCTCACGTCACAAAGTGCCAAGCAAAGCTGGCCATTTAGCTGTTTCCAAACAAAGATTAACACCAGCTGAAGAATGGCAAACAGACTGAACAATTTAGAAAAAATAATAATAGTTTGAAAATTTACCCTTTTAGCTACTAGCTAGTCTCCATACAGAGGGTCTGATTACTCTCTCAGTTATCTATTTGTTGCAAATAGACTGTAAGTCTGAAGGGTTTGTTGTGCTTTAGTCTGAGTTCTTTCATGGCAGATCACAAGACTTTCCTGAACTAATTTCTGTTTGAACAAGAATATATGTTAGAGCGTTTTTTGACATGTATTGCAACCCTACGCAGTATTTGGGGTGGGCCGCTCCAATAAACTTTGAATAGTTTTTGTCCTATCCCTTAAGGGAGAGTCTTCACAGCTTCTGCAGGAATCAGGGTAGGTTTTCCAGAGACTAGGAAGCACAGAAAGGGCTGTTGAAATAAAAGAATGAACTTGAACTGAGCCTTTTTTCTGATCCAGCAGACACGACCTTCTGTCCAAAAGGAGCCCCACCCTTTGGGGAAAGATTCAAAAGACTGTGGCCCATCAGCGCCCCATAAGACTGATGAGTGATGATTGGTAAATTTTGTGTCTTTAAACCAGTTTTTAAAAATGTTTTCCTCTGCAATACTTTTACCTTAAGAATAATGTAGTTTCTTAGAAAAAGCTGTATGGTAACTTGTAACTACTGGTAATAGGCCCTGGAGAGAAACGAACACATAAGAGTCAGCTGTTAGGCAGCTTGACTTACATTATTCAGCTGAGGAGCCTCAAAACCCTGTTCAGGAGGGAGGAGAACAAGAGACTTACCCAGAGACAGGTACCAGAAGGTGACCTGATATCACCTTAGAAACTCCTTGAATGGACCACAGAGAACAAGGGATGCAGATGCAGTTACCCTAAAACTGTGACATATCTAATCTTGATTTAAAAGTTTCAAATGTTGGAGAACCCAACAAAACTCTTGGTAAGTAGTCTGGACTGATAAATACAAATAAGGTGCAGCTTTTAATTCTGGTCTCAGTTTGTCCTGGTTTGACTTCCAGCCATTGGATCGTGTTTGAATTTTGTTTGCTAGATTGGATTTGCCTTTCTCAAATTTCTTGTCCCAGTGTAGACAACTTTGACCAGGTTTTCTTTATTAAGGTAAACAAAAGTGGGCTAGTGTTTAAAACAAACAGAATGAAGTTTTTCTTCATGCAGTGCACAGTCAACCTGTGGAACTCCTTGCCAGAGGATGTTGTGAATACCAGCAGTTTAACAGGGTTGAAAAAAGGACTAGATAAATTCGTGGAGGTTAGGTCCATCAATAGCTATTAGGCAGTGTGGGTAGGAATGGTGTCCGTAGCCTCTGTTTGTCAGAGGCTGGAAATGTATGATAGGGATCACTTGAGGATTATCTGTTCTGTTCACCTCTTCTGGGGCACCTGACATTGGCCATTCTTAAGCTCTTAACCTTTCAAAAGAAAAATTAAGATTTTTTTCCAGTTGTTGTGCACAAATGCAAATAACCTTTCTTGCTCAATTAATCCTGAGTTCCTTATTGTGCACAATTTCTATTAAAAGGATCTATGGGAATTTAGGACCAGGCCCTTTGGGTTATAATTAATAATATAGTATGTCCTCAAGAATATAGTATATGTTATACTATGACCTCAGAAGTTTTCCCCACATTTTTAATTAAACTACAGAGAAATAGCATACCATAGAAACAGAATTTGAACAATTAATTCCCTCAAGATTATGCTAAGGTGCAACATCAGCTCCAGGACATCTGTTTCTTCTATAAAAAGATTTTGCTTTCTCTAAAGGGATCATTAACTGCAGTCTAAAAGGCTTACACATTGATAGTTTACTGTTCTTTCTACTCATTTTATTCTTTTGTGCACATTACCATATTACCTGGATAGAAAGGTCACCAAAATATCAAGTTAGTACAAGACATTTAGAAATCAGAGTAACTCTTAAATTCTGTTTTTGGGTCTGTCAGGTGACTCACTGTGAGACCTTATACAAACTATGTAACTTGCCCAAAGTTTTTTTTTTAATAAACTTATAAAATGAGAATATTATCTTTGCTGTCACAATGTAATTATTGCACATCTATAAGTACTTGAGATGAAAAGTGCTATGAAAAATCGAAATATTATGTATTCCCTGTAATTACACAATGAACTGTTTCAATTTGGACAACTCCATGCATTCCAAAACCACGAGTCCACTCTAAAAAGGAGTCATGGTATTTTTAAAAACAGTAAATTTAGGGTTGAGTGGGTATTTTGTTTTCCTTTTTTGACTTCTGGCTCTCAAGCCATTAGGATACACATTCAACCTTGCGCTGAAACCATCCCTGCTAAAAGCGAGGGGCTACGTCTAGACTGGCATGATTTTCCAGAAATGTTTTTAACTGAAAAGTTTTCCGTTAAAAGCATTTTCGGAAACGAGCATCTAGAAAAGCATCCGTGACCAATCTAGATGCGCTTTTGCGCAAAAAAGCCCCGATCACCACTTTCGTGATCGGGGCTTTTTTGTGCAAAAAAAATCTCAGGTGTCTACACTGGCCCTTTTGCGCAAAAGTTTTGTGCAAAAAAGACTTTTGCCCGAACGGGAGCGTCAAAGCTTTTCCGGAAAAAGCACTGATTTCAGACAGTAGAACGTGATATAACTTAGATAGGGCCACGATAAGGTGGGTGCATAATTGGCTGGATAACCGTAGTCAGAGAGTTGTTGTTAATGGTTCTAAATCCTGCTGGAAAGGGATAACAAGTGGAGTTCCTCAAGGGTCTGTTTTGGGACCCGTACTGTTCAATATCTTCATCAATGATGTAGATATTGGGATAGAGAGTACGCTTATTAAGTTTGCAGATGATACCAAACTGGGTGGGATTGCAACTTCTTTGGAGGATAGGGACATAATTCAAAACGACCTTAGCAAGTTAGAGAAATGGTCAGAGGTAAACAGGATGAGGTTTAATAAAGAGAAATGCAAAGTGCTCCACTTAGGAAGGAACAATCAGTTCCATACATACAAGATGGGAAGCGACTATCTAAGAAGGAGCATAGCGGAAAGGGATCTAGGGGTCATAGTGGACCACAAGTTGAATATGAATCAACAGTGTGATGCTGTTGCAAAAAAAGCAAATATGATTCTAGGTTGTATCAACAGGTGTGTTGTAAGCAAAACTCGTGAAGTCATTCTGCCGCTCTACTCTGCACTAGTTAGGCCTCAGCTGGAGTACTGTGTCCAGTTCTGGGCACCACATTTCAAGAAAGATGTGGAGAAATTGGAAAGGGTACAGAGAAGAGCAACAAGAATGATTAAAGGTCTAGAGAACATGACCTATGAAGCCAGGCTTCATGAACTGGGCTTGTTTAGTTTGGAAAAAAGAAGATTAAGGGGGGACATGATAGCGGTTTTCAAATATCTAAAAGGGTGTCACAAGGAGGAAGGAGAAAATTTGTTCCTCTTGGTTTCTGAGGACAGGACAAGGAGTAATGGGCTTAAAGTGCAGCAGGGGAGGTTTAGATTGGACATTAGGAAAAAATTCCTAACTGTCAGGGTGGTCAAATATTGGAATAAATTGCCAAGGGAGGTGGTGGAATCTCCCTCTCTGGAGATATTTAAGAACAGGTTAGATAGACATCTGTCAGGGATGGTGTAGACAGAGCTTGATCCTGCCTTGAGGGCGGGGGGCTGGACTCGATGACCTCTCGAGGTCCCTTCCAGTCCTATTATTCTATGATTCTATGAGTGCTTTTGTGGAAATTCAAGCTTCCAGTGTAGACAGCTGGCAAGTTTTTCTGGAAAAGCGGCTGATTTTCCGGAAAAAAAGGCCAGTCTAGACACAGTGTTTTTGGGCTGAGAGTTTGCATCACTGAGAGGAGCTGGGATATTAAGAGAAAAATCCAAATTGTAGGTGCGTTGGCAACAAGGGATTTCCTCTCTGCTAGGAATCCCTGGAGCAGGGAAGATACTTTTAATAGGGGACCAAGTTTTGCTTTAGAATGGCCCCACAGAAGCCCAAGGTGCAAACAAGAGTTGCCTGTTGGAGCAGGGTGCTGGAAGCGCTAGGGCAGGCAGGGTGCTCTGGGCCCTCTCCCCAGCTACCCTGCGCCACTGCCCTGGGACCTGAGGCAGCAGCTGCGCCCCACGCGTGCCTCTATGCCATCCCATCTGTGCCGCCAGCCTTGGGCCAGGAGGCGGGGCTTTCCCCCTCCCTTACACCGATTGGCCGAGGAGTCTCTCGGCCCCGCCCTTCTGAAGTGCCATTGGACTGTCCTCCTTCCCCCCCCCCCCCGCCACCCAGCCGCGATGATTGCCATGGCGACCGGATCGCGTCCGGCTGTTCCCGCTTCTCGCCTTAACTCCTCCCTCCCTCCCCTCCTTCCCGCCGGGAAACCTGGATAGAACCAGGCGGGCTGCTTCCTGCTCCCTGCTCTCGCGAGAGGTGGGGTGGGGTGGGGGAGCCTAGCAACGGCGAGAGCGGAGTGTAAACAAGCGGGCCGGAGCGGCGCCATGGCGGGGGAGGCGGCGGTGGCCGGAGCTGAGGGGCCCTTCTGCCTGCAGCGTATCCTCTGGGATGGGGGGATCTTCCGGGGGGCTTCCCACAGGGCGGGGGGAGACTGGGGGCTGCATGGGGGGGCGTCTCGCTGTGGGGCAGGCGTGGAGATGGGGGGAGTGTGACCCCCCCCACCCAGGGCAAGTTGAAGCCATGGGGTGGGCTGGAGTCCCCCCATGCAATAGGGGCTTTCTCTAAATAGAAGAACTAGAGGCCACCAAATGAAGTTAATGGGTAGCAGATTTAAAACTAATAAAAGAAAGTTCTTCTTCACACAGTGTGTAGTCAACCTGTGGAACTCCTTCTCAGAGGAGTAGCTAGTGATGTTTAAATGTGTAAGAGAAATTATTCTTGGAATTTCTTTAGAGAGTTCTACTCTAAAAAGTCACTGCCTAAAAAATCTCATATGTGAATCCTGTTTGTATCTCTATTCTTTCCTTACCAAATTGAGCTCAGTTTACAATTAAAAAAAGATTTCCCTCTAACTGCCCATTCTATGAAACTAGCCTTGGGTCTTCTGAAGGCAGCACCTGTAATAAATATTCTGCATGCCAAGTCATGCCCTCAGAGGCACTTGTTCAGCCTTAGAGCAGTTTGGGGTAGTACACAGTTTGGCCTTGTTGCTTAGCAAACAGTTCTGGTGCAGCCCTGGAGGGGCCAGGCCAAAACCCCCAAAACCACAACTGCCTTCCCCAAGGTCACAGTGAGCTCAGTCCCCAGACTTCAGGATTAGAACAATGTTAATCGAGGCCACCATGCCATCTTCCCGCCTCCCCAGCTAAATCCACTCCTCCTCTGATATGGAAAACTGAGATGCCCCGCTTGTCGTTAGTTTCACCTAAGGGTTAGGAGTATTAACAGTGGGGTTGTCCAGAGTCTAGTTAATTTCAGTGTTGCCAGAATATACTGTTGTTGAGAATCCCTGGGGGAAACTAGAGATAACAATTTCACTTTGCTGCTGCTGCTGCTTGGGAAAGTGATGAGCAACAGCTGAAGTACGGGAGCTGTTGCCTCTTACCACTTTTCGGACTCTCTCTCTAGCAGGTGTCTTGCACATTTTTCCAAGCCGTTATCAAATAAGGCACCAAATTCACACATTTGCTCATTCTTCCACTTAGCAATATTTAACCACAGGCCTAGAGTGAAAGACTCTTAATTTCATTATCAAGTGCCTCAATTATCCAATCAGTCCCTACAAATCTATGTTTAACTCAATATTTTAGACAATATAGGAATTACTAACTTGGCTTACAGCAATTTAGAAGGTTTATTTCCAAGTTACGACATTTAGAAACACAGTTTGCTCTTTTTATAACTGAAAAAGAGTCAAAGATATGTTACTCATTTTTTGTGGTTTTTTCCAGTAGTGTATATTTAAAGGCTGGCACTCAAAAGATTTGACTTCTCTTCTCAACCGTGGTACTGACAGACTCATTGTGTCACCCTATGTAAGCCACTTTTCTACAATTCAGTTTGTTTTCTTAAAAGCAGAGAAATTCTTCAGTGTTTGGGCTGATAAAAAGCACTACATAAAACATTTAAATAAAATGGGATGTTTGCTGAAAAATATAGTGGAATGAGGAATTTTGTCAAAGATTGTGCATCTGAAATATAATTTTTGAACAATAATGTCAAGATTTTTAATATGAGGTTCTATTCTGGAAGCATGGCACCTGCAATAACACGGTAGTTTAGACCAGTGTTTCCCAATTTTATTTGGCCACGGAACCCTTTTAAACTCAAAAGAATTTTGAGGCACTCCTAATAACAGTCTTATACATGGAGCTGAAAAAGTAGACCACAAATAAGTAAGGATAATAATAAACAAATGCTAAACAAGGTAATGAGATCAACATTTAGTTTAATTGCACATATTTAAAAACAAAAATCACACTGAGAACGAGTGAGTACGGGGATTTACGGTGGTATATAACAGGCAATCGCACCATTGACTGACTGTGCATGCAGCTCAGAGTAGTGACATCATCGTCCCCACTCTCTAGCTAAGCAGGCATTACACAGGGACACTTGTCGTGGCAAACACACATGAAAATTATTTTCAATAAAGTTTATAAATGCTTAAATATTAATTGTTATTTTTAAAAAATCGTACAAAGTTATTGTAATGGAATTTTCTCGTGGAACCCTTATTTTCACTTCGCGGAACCCTGGGGTTCCACGGAAAACCATTTGGGAAACACTGGTGCAGACCATAATGACACATAAGGACTATCAAGTCAGTAAAATACTTTTAAAAAGGCAACAGCAAACTACTCTTCTCTGAAGCTCTTAAGTCACCAAGAGCATATTGCATTAGTTTGGAATGTCTAGTAGATATGGCAGTGACATTTATATTCAGATTATAAAAGATTCTATAGCTGTAGAATAGAGAAAGGAATGGTGTTGTACCTATGTAGAACAATTGGACAAAATCTGTTTAGCTCATTATACAATTCCAATGAGATGTTTTTAGCCAAATTACTAGATGCACAGTACTGCATTTAAGTTGTACCAAACAAAACATTCAAATCTCTTATTTAACACTACAACATGACAGTACCAGAAGTTCTGCTTAATTTCAATGACATTGGGCCTTTTAAAAAATATAGTAATAAAATAATACTTGGTACATTTTTCAGTTTCTGAGTGCTTTGCAAACTGTGAATAAAGTACCATTCAGTTATGATGCTAATGAATTAATGGTAAATCATAATTATTAAATATATCCAGCAAAGTAGGTAACTTATCTCTATTGTACAGATATGGGACTCTAAGGCCCATACGTTTAATCTGATTTGCCACACAACAGTGTAGTAGCAGAGTAAGAATAGAACTCAGGCATTTGTGACTCTTAGTCCCAGATGACTAGATTATACCTGTGTTGAATATTACTTTTATTATACCTTTTGCTATAATTAAGGCAGTTAGTTACATTGTGATGTGTACTATAAATGTCTGTTTATGCACAAATAGCTTTCTGAAAGGTCCTTTATGGCTGAAACTTACTATTGCTAGTCTCAGTTTTTTTTTTTTTTTTCTAAATAAAGCTGGAGCAAAATCCCTTCATGATCTTGAGTTATTGGAGAGTGAAGGAGAAAATGTTCTGAGAATATTAAGACTTTTTTGACTTATCAAAAGTTCAAAATCATTGGTGGGGCAAGCCCTCTAAGCTCAAATGCAGAATTAGTACTGACTGACTTCATCATCTGATGAAGTAGGTTTCACCTACAAAAGTTCGTGGTACTATAGATATATATTTGTTAGTCTCTAAGGCTACATCTAGACAGCAGGGTCTATTTCGGGATACTGGAAATATCCCGAAATAGTAATTCTGCATCTTTAAACCCATCCTTTATTTTGAAATAAGAGGCACACTATTCTGGCATCCCTGTAACTCTTGTTTTATGAGGGTTAAGGGATTTGTTGAAATAGTGCTTTATTTTTAAATAACCTCCAAGTCAGCTATGCAATTTGCATCACACATAGCTTATTTCGAGGTGAGGGTGCTGTGTAGATGCACCCTAAGGTGCTACAGGACTACTCGTTTTTAAGTTACAGACTAACACAGCAACCCCTCTGAGATTTAATGACTGAAAAGGCATCCTTTTACTGTGTGTAAGTTAAAAATCACTACTATAAAAAAAATTAAATATTCTCTTTTTAAATGAGCATTTTAAATAAAAAGATTTTTGTAGCTTCTGCAATAACACAATTAACTTTTCCCTTTTGCTTGCCTCTCTCTCTCTCTCTCTCTCTCTCGATGCACATATGGATAAAATACAATGTAGCCAAGTACAATTCTCCAAATAAACCAGGGATATTAAGAGAAACCAGCAGATTTACACATATCCGATTCAGGAATATAATCGCAGAGCAAATACAAATACATAAGTACATGAATTAGCCCCTCCTTTATAAAAAGGGGGCCCTAGTAGCCAGACTATGCAAAGACGACCTCACTTTTTAAAGTCTCATTCACAAGCTATCTGCCCCAGACATAAAGTATCATCGTGGCCATTGTATGTATAGTGAAAGGATATAGAATACATTGATCATAGGGGCATTTAGTTTTTAAGAAATGATTCTGAGGCCAGGTCTACACTGTAGGGGGGAGAGGTCGGATTAAAGTACACAACTCCAACTACATAAATAATGTATCTGGAGTCAGTGTACATCAAGATGAGCTTGGTGCCATTTTCTCAGTGGGAGATCAATGAGAGAAATGCTCCCATTGACTCTCCTTACTCCTGGTGACAGTGGCTCCCTCAGAATTCTATTAACAGGTCTTTACTAGACCTGCTAAATCAAACCCCAGACGATCAATTGATCTTCCGGTAAATAGAGACAGACTACTTACCAAACCAAATCAACCAAAACACCTAACCTCCCAAATCAATTCTTCTGACACCAGACTTCCTCTGCTTTTGGCACTCCCTATCAATCTCCAGTACAAGTTAAAAAACTCGTAGTTTCCCCAATTATTGCTTTTGCACCCTCTATCTTTTAGGAGCAATAGGTCCAAAGCAATCCTTCTCCCTCCTGCCCTGCCTTATCATATTTACATTAGAGCAGCTGCAGCCACTTAGCTCTTTCTGCCCCTCTAGCAAACTGTTAGTGGTTCCAGGATCACTTTGCTGCTTACTTTTCCTCCCCATGCAGTTAAAGGAGCAGCACTACTACTAGTTTCTTAAGAGCATGAAAGGAACAAAGATAATTGTAAGGTCCCCAGAATTTGATTGGGAGAGAGGAGTTGAGACTCAGAAATGAGACAGCTGCTAAAATCTAGGAGGGTTGGCCAAAGCATTGGTTCTTCAGGACAGCTCTTCAAAGTCCTGTCCACAAGTGCAACTGCTCTCCGCTATGCTCTCCCTGCCCCCATGCAGCAGATGCAGGGGCTGCTGCTGAGACGCTTTGCCAGAAGGAGATTGTAAAGCATTCACGAAACACACACTCGTCAATTTTCCCATTTAAATCAGTTAATCCAATTTTTTCCTAGTGTAACTAAAGGAGATGTAGGGTTGTTATACTGACATAACAGCAGCATCAGTGCTCAGTTTACTGTTATTTCCCCCCAAAGTGTGGATCTACACAGCTGTGCATTTGTAATATCAGATTGCTAAACCTGATGAAAATGGCTAGTTTTCTAAAAGAATGAAATTCACCCAGAGGCGTAAGAACAGTGAAAAGTCCCCTAGTGCAGTATAGCAACTGTGACTATGTTCCTCAGAGTAAAGTTTGGCATATGGCATATGTTAAGCACAGCAACTGGATTCACAGATAGCAAAGCAAATAGGTGGTATTTTAATGCTTTCCCAATCCTTCAGTGAAAAGTTTGAGTGCTTATTTCTGTTCTTGAATGCAGAAACATGCCTTTCATAGGAGCTGTGTAGGGGCATCCAAGGGCTAATGTGAGCCCTAAATATATGAACATTGGCCTTACAGAGATCAGGCGAGAGGCTGCTAGACACTGCTTTATGAACAACTGCTTTATTTTTAATGCTAATTTAAAAAATCATTTTAATTCTCATTGGAAAGCACCGACTACGTCAGTTGTGTTAGACTTGACAAAACATACAGAAGTTTCCATTACAGAAGATTCTGAAGATGATTATCAGTATGAAGAGGTAACTTATTTAATAATAACATTGCCAACGATAACAGTAATAGCTTTTTCTTTTAGAGAGCCTTTCATCAATAGAGCTCAAAACATAGGAGATAGTTTTAAGTGATATCTGTATTGCAGCACCCATCTCTTCTTGTATTTAAATGCACCCTGGGCTGCTGACAAGGTTGGGGGGGAAAGGCACAGCTGCCCTGGAGCCCAACAATTTAACAAGATATGCATGGTTTTAAGTATGTATTTTCATTTAATAAAGAGAACTAGTAACATTTGATTTATTATGTCATTTTGCCATTTAAATAATTTGTAAAAGGCAGCAGTAACTCAGGTTAGCTGATTTCAGCTTAGTCATAGTGAGGATTTTGCATATTTATGTTTATATTTTATAATATAGCTTTGCTTTCTTGGATTTTGTTTTCAGTATATTAATATCCTAGTCTTTGATATAAATAAATAACATCTTCTAAAGCCTGTGCTTGATCTCTCTCTGAATAGCTGTTGTGTGAAGGAGTGTAAACCTAACAGAGAGGTGAGCAAAGTGTTAGTAAGAGTTTGGGTACATCTACACTTGCTCCCTAGTTCAAACTAGGGATGCGAATGTAGCTGACCGAAATTGCTAATGAAGCGGGGATTTAAATATCCCGTGCTTCATTAGCATACTCTCGCCGCGCGCTATTCTGCTCGCCAGCTGATTGGAACCAGGAAGTGCGCTCTGGGACACATTAGTTCGAATCAAACCCCTTGGTTCGAACTAATGTTACTCCTCATTTTTAGTGAGATTATGCTAATGAAGCGTGGGATATTTAAATCCCAGCTTCATTAGCAATTTCGGTCAGCTACATTCACATCCTTAGTTCGAACTGGGGAGCAAGTTTAGATGTACCCTTTGAGAACTCAGCCCATCTTCCTGTACCTGGAGAGTGTGTTGGCCTGGATTTGTTATCAGACCCTGCTGAGGAGGACCTGGGACTTCTCATAAAGCAGAGAAATGAAAACTACAAGATGGTGTGTTTATGTAAGAAGTAAAGTTCTTTAGCCTTGGAAAATGAATTAAAGAATTAGCTGTAGAGGAAGAATTAATATAGAATTTAACATAGGAGAGGGAAGACTTCTAGAAAGTTACTATGTGAAAGTAGGACTTCATTATATTTGGGAAGAAAGTATAATACATTAATGTGTATGGATGTGACTTCATTGATATTTGGGTTTAGGTTCCAGCAGATGATGATGTTAGTCTTCTGGAAGGTGATGAAGATCTGGAAAAGGCTTTACAGACAATACAGGAGCAGGCTGAAGATGCACAAATTATAGTAAGAGTTTTCCAAATATTGTTGCTAAGAATCCCTCAGTAATAAAACTGATTTCTATTGGCTTAACGCTTACACGCTGAATACTTAATTATTGAGCACAAACTATGGATAGATTCTTTTACACTACTTATGGCATAAATCTCTAGAATCATCAGCTGTGATGTCATTTTGAGAACAAAGTGTAAATACATTTTTCATCCACCCTGATAATCCTCTATTCGCTGCTTGCCTGTTTTGTTATTATATAATTCATGCATTGCTCAATATTTTAAGGGGGAAAAGTAGACTTAAGTCACAAAAATGGGTTTTTAGGATCCTTTTCTCTAAATGGAATGAGTTAAATAAAATAGGCCCTGATTCAACAAAGGCCTTTACCCATGTGTTTAAGTTCTGTTGAAGCATGTGTGTCAATCGCTATTTAACATGCCCTTAAATGCTTTGCTGAACAGGAGTAGAATTACTGAAATGCTTTAAAAAACCCCACAAGTATATATCTAGCTGCCTAGGATGAATGACAGATACAATCAGATTGATCATTTAGATAACATCTAGTATTAATTTTAGTTTCTTTTTTTACACTGTAGTTAACAAAAACCAGGAATAGAAAAGCTTCTGTGGGAAGGCTGTAACATGACTCTGCTTAATTTGTCAGAATTCAGAATAACACCAAGAACCTCAAACTGGTGAGAGGAAAAGAAGGCTGCTTCCTAAAACAGAGTGGCCCTACTCATTCCTCCCTACTGTAGGTTGACTCTTAGCAAAATGTATTCTGCTGCCAGGACCACATGAAATGCTTGCCTATAGAGCCAGCCAGCCATTCCTCTGCAGGCAGGTCTAGGAAAATCCCTGAGAATTCTAATTGATCACAACTTGAAAACAGCTTTCAGTATACCACAGTGAGTTCAGATGCTACTTCACTTGCAGAAAAATTACTTGGGTTGGCTTACTAGACTAACATAATAAGATATCTTTCTTTTCCCTTATACCACCATCAGTTTCTTATATTTTTTCATTTAAGCAGTGAGCGATTGTCATCTTTGTTCTGCAAAGGCAAATGAATGTAACTTTTTTTTAAATTAAAGTGATCAGTTCTCAGTGACAACTGAGGAAAGATCTATTTTGTGTGGATTAGTAAAATGATCAGTTCTGTGGTCAGTATTAAACTGAAAATATCAAACTAAGAGGCATGTTGTGTGAAAATTGGTTCAGTTTTTAAAAGAAGATTTTGAAGCATTGGAAATATTTGAAATTATTCAAAGGTCAGCTATAGTTACATCAGACTGTGCAACTTGATACTTGGGGAAAAGACTATGGAGAATATTACTAGTCTAATTTTTCAACTGTTTCAGAAGTTTCTCTGTTGAACTGTAAGACTGCTACAGAGGAACACTTGATGTATGATACGTTTGGTGTGGATGTGTTTAATATATAAAATCTTGTTTGAGTACCCAAAGCTTATTGAAGCTTTGATAGCAAAAAGCAAGCACTATGTGCATAGCTAGCCTCAAGTTCAGTGTGTGTGTGTGTGTGTGTGTGTTTTAGCTAAAAGGTTTCTCTTTGCTTCTGGATTTGGTACTGAGATATCTAATTCAATTCTCATGGTTAATCATAGTATTTTAGAAACATAGTATATGTAAATCACTTTCTGCTATTAATGGTAGGGTCTGTAGTGCAAAACAAAGGTACTTGTTAATTGCCTGAATGCTTCCATAATTAAATATTTATTGCATATTTTATGAGGCGTATAAGCTAGGTTGTTTATTGCTCATTTACTAGAAAACCTAAACATTGAAACAAGAGGTTTTGGTGACTCAGCAAATAGTAATACTGTAATATCTCTGATTTTTTCCCCTATTGAACCTGAATCTCAACACTGTGCTTAGAAACACTTCTTTACGTGAGGCACAATTGAGACAATGAAAGATTGTAGCTGTGAGATTCCCTGGTACACTTGCAAGTGTCACCTGGTAGTCCCTGTGTCTGGTTTCTGTTGGGATTTAAATGTCCTGGCACACCTACCTTCCTCTATGGCTTCAGTTCAGCTTTGCACCCAATTCCATAATAAAAATGTGTCACCCCTATTTAAATGCACATGTTAAGGTAATAAAGCATTTATGCAGTGGTGGTGCATAGATCAAGTAAATGTCCAAAAGTATAGTAAGCTTACTAAGTTCCCCAAATTTAAAAATCATGGTTATTTATATCTATGTCCATGGTTTTAATTTTCTTTAAGAAGATCAAACATAGCTAGTAAAACTCAAGAAGAGAGTTTTCTGAATTCTAATGACTGGCACTTTCAGTAAACCAAGACTACTGTGCCAAACAGCTAGTATGTGTTAGCATCCATTATCTTGTGGGGAAGGAAAACACTAGTGATGTGATTAAAGGTATGCTGCTGCAAGAAATAACAGGACAAATTCTTCTTCCGAGATCTCTGGGGTCAGTTTGGCTCCTGGATCCTAACCTGCACAGGCCTAGTGAAAGCTAGAGTTGCAAGGGAGCAGCTCTAACACATTCTGTTGGTGTAAACATTCAGGACCTGTTGTCAACAGAAGATAGATCAGAGCTCACTATGCCCGATCAGGCTGCTAAACCTGTATGTGGGGATGGCATGGTGGCTTGCATGTACAGCTTCTCTGCCCAAAGCGGATTCTTTAGCTGCCACCCCTTTCAGTCTTTTGGCTACGTCTGAACTACAAAGATTTTTCAAAAGAGGATCTTTCGAAAATGAAAGCAGTCTGGATGCGGGTTTTTTTGGGAAAAATAAACCTTTTTAGAAAAAAACACTCCTCCTTTTTTTAGGAAGTTTACGTGGTTTTTCAAAAAAGATTTTTTTTTTTCTGAAAAAAAAAAACGCATCCAGACTACCTTCATTTTTGAAAGATCCTCTTTCAAAAATGCAACCGGAAGAAAAATTCCCTGGGAATTTGCATATCTTCTTTCGAAAAATCTTTGTAGTGTAGATGTAGCCAAGTGTCCTGATTCAGTCCTACCTCCTTACTTTTGCTGTTGCTCTTGCTTAGAACAGTATCTTGTAAGCTGGTGGCTGATCCCCGAATGTAATTCCTCTCAAAAGTACCTTGTTTTCCATGTGAAAAAATGAATCTTGAGTTCTTTATACATTTTTCCTTTATATGTCCCACCTTCTCCTCTGTTTTGATCTCTCTAAATTGTGTAGCACACAAAGTAAGTAGAATTATGATGGAGATGTTTCCTCAGGATGTATTTTTAATCTCTCTCTATGAAAATGACAGAGCCTTTTAAATGGGAACATCATCTCTTCTCTGACAATGCATAGAACTTACGAATCTAGATTTTTTTTCCATAAAAGAAAATGGATCTGTGTTACCTTAGGCTTTAGGAACACTTCATTTCTGCAGCCTTTTGTGTCACATGTGAAAAGTCAAATTCTCTTCTAAGATTAGTTTATATTCTGCCTTAATACATTTGATTTTAATTTGACCCTGCATTCCAAAATTCTGCACTTCTGTGGGTTTTTTCCCTTTCCTTCCAGCTAAGTAAATTTTGAAGGAATGTGCTGCCACCTCCCATTTTGTTTGGAGTTAATCTTTTTTGGTGTTCTTTGGACAGAAAATTCCTCTGAGTACCAGCAAATGGTGCTGTGACAGACCCAAGGTTATGAGGAAGTCCTAATGGCTTTTATTGGAAAAGTTTGATATCGCCACACTCAGCATCCTCTCCAGAATCCGCAGGTGGTTGGCTTTATTGTTTTTTTTTCAGAAAAATAAATTGGACAAAACTCTTACACTGAATAAATAAGCTGAAAACCTTGCATAGTGCTTCCGTCTCATTTCTTTTGTGGTCTGTATCTCTGCCATATGTGGGCACCTCTGTCATTAATGGGTTTTGTATGCACAACAGTCTCATGAAACAGGTGTTCTTCGCATTTTTCAGCTGAAGTGACTATCCTGGCATCACACAAGAAGGCTTTGATGGGCCATCAATATATAGCTTTCTAGCCCTGATGTAAAAACCTCTGGGTGGATATCCATACTTAGGAATACAACACAGTTATTTCGTAACTTCAAATACAAAGATGATATATGGATTTATCCAGGATAATTATACTTGATTATAACATTTCTACTGATGCCTTACATGATTTATTTTATATGAGATTCATGGAAATTGTGTAACAGTGATATAAATGGTCACCTTTCTTATACACAACAACATATCATATATATAGTAGCCCAATGTCTGTGACTCTGTAACGCTGAAACACTGGCTGTTGCCTCCTGCCGGGGCTATTGCCTCTCGCCGTGGTGCTCGGCTGACTTGTGTGCTGCTCAGCCGGGCTTGCTCCCGCGCGGCGGCCTGGCTGAGTGGCGCAAAAGTAAGCCAAGAGCCATGGCGGAAGGCAAAGGGGGGGCGGGGTGCTGATGTACATGCCCAGGGGGCAGGTCCTGGAGCCTCCGTTATGTCCTTACTGTGCTGACGTCTGGTCCAACCAGCCTGGTAGAGTGAGCCCAGGCTGGAGGAGCACAAGCAGCTGCATAGCCAGCTGGAGAGAAGTGGCGTTTTTAAGGGGAAAGTGCCACTTCTTTCTAGCCACCTGCTCCATGGCTGCCCCCTGCTCAGTCCTCCAGTTGGCACCTGTGAGTGGGGGCTGGGCGCTGAGCCAGGCCGGGGGGGAAAGGCGGGGGAACGAGGGGGAGGAGAAGGTGGAGGACAACTGGGAGGCTGCAGGATCAGTGCTGGGGTGAAAGGAAACGGTGCAGGGAGGCAGCTGGAGCTCATAGGCAGCCACTCAGCTGGGCTGCCACGTGGGAGCAAGCGGTGAAAACAGCCCGTTGGGCTCCGTGCTCCCCATGCAGGAGGAGGAGGAGAAGAGAAAGAGAGAGTGAGAGAGAGGCAGGAGGGGGAGGGGAAGAGAGAGTGAGAGGCAGGAGGGGGAGAAGAGCGAGATGGAGAGAGAGGCAGGAGACAGAAGAGAGCTGAGAAAGGGGGGGAGGAAGTAGGAAGAGGGGGCAGAGAGAGAGATGGAGCGAGAGACTGGAGGCTCAGGAGAGGAGACCGAGATAGAGAGGGAATAGGACGTGGAGGAGAGACCTGAAAATCCCATGTTATGATGGGCTATTGGGCTAGTCTTTATATAACATTCTTGTATTCTTTTATTCAAATGACTATTGGATGGAGAGTGGCCCTGGCCTTCAAAGTAATGGGTTCTTGTATCTTTTTTTCAGGAATTGCGCACATTTAAAATAACAATGATTAACCTTTTTAATTTCAGGCTCAGCGATCGGATCTAATATCTAAGCAGTCAGTGTCTGAAATCCCTGAAGTTGTGGATGACTTTCTTTGCAATTTCCTGGTCAGAATGAGGATGACCAGAACCCTTGACTGCTTCCAAACCGAATGGTAAAACTTGTAAACTGTCTCTCTAACTGTGGGGACTTTGGAATAAATGTAGAAAATCCAGCCTCTTTTTGTGTTCGAAAAAAAAAGCATATTTTCTTGATGAGGAGGTTTCTGAAAGTAAATTTGTGCTTATGTGAATAATGGAAACAGTCATTTTAGGATTTTTCAAAATCTCCCACTTATATGCCTAAACGAAATGACTGGAAGCTCTCAGAATCCACAGTTTTCCATTGTTCTCCCTTTTCAAAATCTGGGCACTTTTATTGAGGTGCTGGGAACTTTTGAAAGCCTGGCACATAGCAGTTTTCTTGTCCCTGGGTAGGTCTATACTGCGTGGCTAATTCGGGATATTTGGAGTTATCCTGAAATAGCTACCCTGCATCTTAACAAGCCACCTGTTATTTTGAAATTTTTCAAAATAACGGGTGCGCTATTTCGGCATCCCTGCAACCCTCGTTCCGCAAGGGTTATGAAATGTCTCAAAATAGCACATTATTTCTAAATTTGGGGCTCTGTAGATGCGCCAAATTTTGAAATAACATATTTTGAAATAGAATCGAAATAAGATGCACAATTTGCATAGAGAAAATTGCGTATCTTATTTCTAGTTTAGGGTGATGTGTAGATGCTCCCCTAGTGTTTTGAAGCATGTTCTATTGGATAGTTACTTCATATCTTTAGGGAGAATGATCATAATTTTTGTCATTTACATTGGTTAGAAAATTGTGATGGCTACAGTTGTATCTTTTGTCTTTTTTAATTTAAGTACAATAACGCTCAGAAGAGTGTTCTTGTGACTACCTAACACCAGGTCTCTTCTCTGTATTTTTAAGTGGCTCATAGAGATTTTTTGACCCACAGGAAAGTTATATAGGAGTTCCCTGAATTGCTCTGAAAATATAATTTCCAAGTCAGGTACTTCGTTCACTGACTAACTGTCAGAATGACAAAGCTCCTGGGGGAGAGAGAGCTATATTATGGATCTGTAAGAGTAGCTCTGGTAGCAAGATTCTAATGATACAGCTTCTGTTAGCCTGTTTCAAACCCGCCAAATAATTGTTGGTGGGAGAGACATTGTATTACCCTGAAATGCCTTAGGGTGAGTCTACACTGAAGGGCTTGACTCGAAATAAGTTATGCAAATGGAGCTATGTCAATTGCGTAGCTTATTTCGAAATAGGGAGTGTCTACACCGCACTTATTTCGAAATAGAGCACTCTTCCTCCGACTTCCCTTACTCCTCATACAATGAGGGTTATAGGAGTCGGAGTAAGAAGTCTTCCAGCTTGACAGTATTTTGACACCATTTCGAAATAACTGCCTGCTGTGTAGATACGGACTAAGTTATTTCGGAATAGCGCGAGTTATTTCAAAATAGGGTTGCAGTGTAGCTGTACCCTTAGTCTTGCTTTTAAAGCTGTTGAGAACTGTTTGGTGTTTTTTAGACTGTTTTACAAGCTATCTTCGAATAATGCAATAGGAAAAAAATGTATTTTCACCTAATGAAAAATGTAACATTTTACAGACATATGTTTTAGGGTTAAAACATCTTTCTTGTTTACTGCTCACTAAGGCTGTGTCTAGACTACATGCCTCTGTCGGCAGAGGCATGTAGATTAGACAGATCAGCAAAGGCAAATGAAGCCGCGATTTAAATGATCACGGCTTCATTTACATTTACATGGCTGCCGCGCTGAGCCGACAAACAGCTGGTCAGCAGTTTGTCGGCTCGCGCGCTAGTCTGGACGTTCCCCCTGTCGACATCAAAACCCTTTGTCGGCAGCCCCGTTATTCCTCATGGGCAGAGGCATGTAGATTTGTTTGTTCAGCAAAGGCAAATGAAGCCGCGATTTAAATGACGGCAGCTTCATTTACATTTACATGGCTGCCGCGCTGAGCCGACAAACAGCTGATCAGCTGTTTGTCGGCTCAGCGCGGCAGCCATGTAAATGTAAATGAAGCTGCCGTCATTTAAATCGCGGCTTCATTTGCCTTTGCTGAACAAACAAATCTACATGCCTCTGCCGACAGAGGCATGCAGTTTAGACGTACCCTCTGTTACTGTGTCTCGTTCATTGGACCAATTCCCGGCCACTTGTAAGACACTGGTGTTACTGATGCAGAGTTTCCAAAGGCAGGCATTGCCTATGTAACTTATATTGCATTTTTTTATACAGTGACATTATTTTAAATTCAGTACATTCATGCATAAAGAGCACCATTCAGGAACTTCTGTAACTCTTAGCTTGTAAGCAGCTGATGGATATCAGATATGTAACTCTGATGGCAACAGACAGCTATGACTACACAGATATAAATGACAGATTTTGTATGGAAATGAAACTTTGTAAGGGTAATATCTTGCTTGGATTCAAGTCTTTTGGCAAAACAGACTCTAAATAAAAGTGGTTCAAATCCTAATTTATGGGCTTCATCTTTCGAACATTTACTCACATGAATATTTCTTCCTTGCATGGGCAATCCCTTTAACTTCAGAGATACTACTTGTATAGATAAGGATTTTCAGAATTGAATTGTATGGTATTAAGCCACTTCCTTTGAAATACATTTGTATGATATTAGCAAGTGGTATCAAAACTGGTTTTAAATTGCTGATTTACACTGTTTAATGAAGTGAGCACAGATTAGTGCTGTCAAGTTCTTCTTTGAACTGATACCTTCCTCTTCCTCCTGTACAGCCGATCCATGCTGTGATCAAGTCCTAATGGGAATTAAAATGAGAAAATAATTAGTTAAGAATCTTTTTCATTTACATAAAAAAAGCTTGACTAATTTGTCAAATGATCCACTTAAATATAATAGTCTGCCTAAGATCTAATGCTGTATTAAATTGGACAAAATTATTAGTGTCTATAGAGAAAATAGAGTACTTTTAACTATCTTTGGATATATCACATGTTTCCTATTCATATTGATGTCTTATCTTAAATGATAATAAGTACGTTTTTTCTTTATTGTAATGAATGGTGCTGTATCGTATTTTATTTGTGCAAATCTCATGCACGTCGTAGCGTGTCTAACGATGCTCCTGGGAATTTAAAACCTTGTTTGCAAATGCTTATGGAATATTGTAAAGTGTTGTACGCTTCTTGTATGTTCTGTATTCTTCTGACTCCCCAGTCTTTTTGTAATGCCTTTTTTGCTTGCTGATGGTATTGGATTGACAGCTCTGGAAAATGAAACATAAAGAGAGATTCACTGCAGACCTTTGCATCAATTGGTATAGTTCCAAAGTGCTCATTGCCAGCTGCTGATCAGTTCTCCTCCAACTTTGGCTACCTTTGGTCAGAAAACTCTTAACTGGCAATCGCTTTTTTTAAACATTCCTCAATCTACAAAGAGCTGCTTGTCTTTCAGGCTTTGGGTGAAAGGTGAGCTGTCTCCTAGCACTTTGGGGGATGGATACATAATTTGCTAATCTATCTTCACTAAGTAGGGACAAATTCATAGACTGTCTTGAGTGGCCATGCCAGGCTGTCAGGGAGTGCAGAGCATACCTTCTCTCTTGTACAGGTTACATGGATTATGGTATAGCAGTGGGAGTGGAAAGCAGGCTCTGCAGAGCTGCAGCGTCCTGTCTTGTGCAGTTGAACCAGCAGTCTGAGGAAAGATTGCAGCACTGAGCATAGATCCAGCACAGCATAATTCCTTCCTGGAGGAGCAGAGAAATCTGGAGACAGACTATGATTGAGTCACAATCCACCCCCGCTCCCACATACACACAAAGGCTATTCAAGGGGCAGTGCACCAATGTGTTACCCTTTGTGCTGGCCAGACTATACAGTGAAAATCTACCCCCATTGAAGGAAAATAAAGGACATAAAATTGCTGCTTCACTTGCAACCATTTAGAGGCACCCATTCTGCTCTTTAAAGCCATATATTTTATCTAGATAGCTGTGTATTTGTAGCCCTGTGCATTTACAGATCACCTATAACTTTAATGTCAGAGTGCACTTTACATAATTTATATAATGAGTAAACAAAATATTTCCTAATAGTGAGTACATACTAGACACTACGTGTTATGTTTTCACTAAATTGTAAATATAATATCATGCCGTTGAGCGTATAATGGGAAATATGTCAGGCTTCTAAAGTACACTGCAGTTAATGGATATCTAAGTCTTATCCATTTGTCCTGAACCTGTGCATAAGAGAGAGGTACAGACAGCATGATACTGCAAGTCCCCACTAATCTGCCTCAGTGGTAGGTTGAAGTGTCTATTTTAAGAGTAAAAAGGTAGTTGAACTTCTATGCTCTTTTCTTTCTTGGCCTTGCTGCAGAAATTTCCAATAAGAACTGGAGTGTGACAGCGTGTCATCTTAAATATTAAAAATGCCGAGCATTTTATCTGATATCCAAAGATGAACTGTCATGCTAATCAGTCAAGTACCCATTCATTAGCTAACAACTACAGGATCATCACACCACCCAGTTCCTTCAGAACATTTCTGGAGACATGAATTTATTTATAGCTTGTATTGCATGTCAGAATTTTAGGTTAGATCCAAATGTGCTTTAAGTCATAACCTCTCAAATGATGGTCTCTCTTCTTGAGAATCTCATGTAGTAGGTACTTGGGTTATTTCAAGTTAAGCTGCGGTAAAGAGCTTGAAGAATGCCCATCTGTACTATGTATGCCTGGCTATAATCACACTTCAATCTGCTTCACAGTTCCTTTCCAAATTTTGAGAGAGAGAGAGAAATAAAATTATCTAAGCATAAGTCTCAGAAGGGTATTCACATTAGTCTGTATCTGCAAAAACAAGAAGTCCTGTGGCGCCTTAGAGACTAACAGATTTATTAGGGCATAAACTTTTTGGGGTAAAACCCACTTCATCAGATGAATTGGAATGGGAATGATAGATGAATTGGAATGGGAATGATAGAGACAGGGATGGATGGATATATAAAATATAACAGTATGTGTGGGTATAACAAAAGTATAACAAAAGAGGGAAGTTACTTACCAAGTGTAGAACCGGTATTAATGAGGCCAATTAAGTCAGGGAGGATGCGGCTCCCTCACAGCAGTTGATGAGTTGTCTATACCAAGAGAAGGGGAAATTGCCTTTGTAGTGAGAGAACCAATCTAAATACTTATTCTGTCCTAATCTGATTGTATTAAATTTGCTAATGAATTGCAGTTTTGCTGTTTCTTGTTTCATATGGTTTTGAAGTTTTGTTTTTTTGTTTTTGGTTTCTGTAGAAGGATGGCTACTTTTAAATCCGTGGGTGGTTCCCAAATTACCCAGCTAGATTATTCAGTGTTTTATTAGGACTGTGACAATGCCATACATGGACTGACAAAAAAGCCCTCGATTTTAATAATTTAATGAGACCTCTACTTAAAAATTAAAGACATAATGGGTGTGGGTATACAACTAAGTTATTTCAGAATAGTGGCCATTATTCCGAAATATCTATGCGAGTGTCTACACTGCAATTCTGTTATTTCAAAATAACGGACAGCTTATTCTGACTTCTGTAAACCTCATTCTATGAAGAATAACGCCTATTCTGAAATAGCTATTTTGAAATAAGGCATGTGTAGACACACCACTTCTGCTATTTCAAAATAGCCTCCCACCAGGCCCATTTTAAGTTATTCCTCCTGGGGCTCTAAATCGAGATCGCACGTCTACATTGGGAAGTCTGCCTCAGACTAATTTTGAAGCTTCCCTGCAGTGTAGATGAGCTATTTCGAAATAAGCTATCTTGGAATAACTATTCTGGAATAGCTTATTATGAAATAACTGCAGTGTAGATGTAGCTGATATGGCCATCATTTTCTTGTAGCATAACTTGGGTAATGTGGTTAGCCTACCTGATTGCTGATGTGCTTTCCTCTAGAAATTCCAGCTCCAACACCTCTCTCTCTGGCAATCAGGGTTGGTGGAGCCAAGGATTCTGGGATAGATCCTGAACTGGTGTAAATTGGCACAGCTCCCTTGAGCTGATGCTGAGCTGTGGTACATTGGCACAGCTCCTTGGAGTATAGTTTCATTGCTCTTGAAAGAATTTTGACCATTTCCACCAGCTGATGATCTGCTCCTTTGTAACAAAGAATGGAGCCACATTACCTGGTCAGAGCTAAGAAAGCAGCGTACACTGTACTTCTGTGTACTAGGAAGCCATCTCTATGGCTGTGGAATCTATGAAACTTCTTTATAATCTCTGCTGGCACAGAGGCACCTTGGGTTAACTGGAGCCCCTATGCTCTTAAATTTGTGTATGGATTTGTTTTTTGTCTTGGCAAATCTTGAAGTTCACACTCAGTCCCAGCTCAAGTAGAACTATGACCAAAGCTGTCAGACAATATTGTTCTTGTGGATAGCATCATCTATCTTTTTGTATTGTCAACAAGCCTATGTGGCACTTAATCTTCTGCTGAATGGTATTCTGCATCTCCAATAACATCATTCCTATGAGCTGGATTGCTCTAAAGAGTTTGAGGCTTAGATTGGGTATAGTTAAAGACAGTATTGCAAGAATGACTGAGATATTGCATGAGTAATCTGCAAATATTCATGACACCTAAAAGTCACTATTCACGGCCAAGATATGGTTTTGTCTGCAACTGTGTGGAGCACAAAACAGGCTATATCACAGAAGCTTGTAGGCTCAAGATTTCGCTTGATAGTAATAAAAATATATAAATATATTGAGCAATGGGAAATGTGCTTGTGATTAGCTCTTTCAAAACAATCAAGGAGAAAATATAATATAATGCTGATATGAAAGAGTGCCATTAGTAAAATGAAAGAGAAAGTGATAGTTTTATTAGGATATTTCTCCTAGTGCACTATGAGTTTCATACTTGGGACCATTGATGGGGTCATCTCTATGGGTCATATCACAAGGCATACTGGAGCGGTCGACAAAGGCTTCCCTTGTCGACCACATCATGTCCAGACTGCCCCGCTGTGCCGCCAAACAGCGGATCGGCACAGCACGGTGGCCATTTTGATGTAAATGAAGCGGCGATTATTTAAATTGCCACTTTATTTTCCTATGTCTAGTAAACTCATCTATATGGCTCCGTCAGCAGAGCCATGTGGTCTGGACATACCCTATGACTCAAACAAAATTGTAGATGCCTTCATTAAAAAAAAATGCATGTATTTGAGACTGACCCAAAAGGACTTTATGTATCTATGGAGGCTACTACTTTTAAGTAGCTACAAATTGAGGTTAATATTTATTCTTTAGGTTTTCTTTCAATAACGTAAATTAGAAGGAAGGAAAAGAACTAATGTTGAGGCTAAGGCAGTAAACTATAAATAAGATGTGTTTTGGCTGTTAGGAAAAACTGCTAAAAATAAGGGAATTAAAATACAGCATAACAGAGTGAGTGGTACTGTCATTGTTTGAGTATAAAATAATTTTTCAATGAGGCTGGTATGTGTGTTAGCAGTTCTATTTAATGTAAAATTAAACATGGTGGGGGGAAACACTTAGGTGGGGGGACAGAAGAACTTAAAGTAAAACATCTATCTGTTTGTTACATTAGGTATGAACTAATGCAGAAAGGTATAATTGATCGTAAAGACATTGGATTTGTCCCAGATATGTACACTTACAATCAGCATTTGGAGATAGAGAACAGAAGATTAAAGAAGGAATTGGAAAACTATAAACAGGCTGCCAGGTATGTTAGTTTTAATGAAATACCTTCTTTTTTAAAACCACGAAAGCTCCAGATAAAATAAAATCAAACTCTTAATGGAATTAATACATTTCTATTTTCTCTGTGCCTTTGCACTTTTTACCACTTGTGGATGAGACCCTTAATGAAAGCTGAATGAAATTGCCAAGTATGTCTCAGCTCTGTCGAGAGAGCTGAGTCTGAATTTCTTTTATGTCAGTTTATTGGACTTTAGTTGATAATACTTAAAATCTAATAGTCACAACAAAATACTCCATAGGATTATGAAAATGTCTATAGGGATAGATGAGAAATTACCATCTAGTGCTCTGTATTGATATGTTGCAATATGACAATTCGTAGCAAGTTCTCATATATAGGAGAAGAATAATTCCTCATTATACACCTGATCCTGTAGCCCTTTCAAAGGTTTTTAGGTCTTGGAGTTTAGGTCTTGGAATTATTGACTGCATTTGTAGCAGGTTTTGCAAGATGCACAGTAATTCTCACACAGCAATTTACATTCAGGCTGTATAATGAACTACTCTGCAGTCTTTATTAAAAAAAAATCTGCTTTCTGCATTTGTGTTCCATGCACTAACATCTAGGAGTGGGTTTTAATGGGAGATGGACAGTTATAGACTGCATTCCTCTGCAAATGAAGCAGATTGAAAATTCAAATGAAGTGCGGATTTACAAATCTTGCGCTTCATTTGCATAATCACGTCCGAGTGCTTTTTCAAAAAAGGGCTTTTTGAACTCCCCCCCGCTCCCCCGGCAGTGTAGACGGGGTTCTTTGAGGAAAGAAAACCCCTTTTTTGAAAGAACCCGTCACCTTATTTTTTCAGGAGTACGGGTTCTTTCGAAAAAGGGTTTTTTTTTCGAAAGAACCCCTTTTAGACTGCGGGGTTTTTTTTCGAAAAACCCTTTTCTGCAAAAGCACTTGGACACAATTATGCAAATGAAGTGCGAGATTTGTATATCTGCACTTCATTTAAATTTTTGATCTGCTTCTAGAGGAATGCAGTCTGGGCATAGCCTAAGTCAAACCATTCCCTAGTCTTCTTTGCATCCTCCCTGAACCTTGTGTTTGGTTGTATAGGGGAAACCATGCAACTGCCTACTCCCATTTAACTAGGAAGGTGAGGAGTGGCAAACTGAAGTCCAAGAAGGAAAATTATAATCTTACCTCTGATATTTTTGACTGGTGGTATCGTCTACCGATATTTCTGGTGTAAATTGTCAGGTCCATTGGTTTCAATGGATTTATGACAGTTTACTCCAGCTGAGGATCTACTCTGTATAACCCAAATCCCAGAGTTGGATGAAATATACTATACTATATATTTCACTTCAAAGACTTGTATAATCAAAGTTTTTCCCCATTGGTTATATACTAAGCTTTATTTTTCAGTGCTTCCAACTGAACATAATGGAGGAGTGCTGATTAGACTGATTAGACGATGATACTCATTATGTTCAGTGTTTCACACAGAAAGTTTGCATGGTGAGATGCATTGCTGTGAAATGTATTTGAAAATAGCTTCTAATTAAAATGGTTGCTTCTGAGCTTGCTGTTCTTGACGATCATCTTGCTGAAAAGGGACATTATTTGTGACACCACCAGTATGGGGGCGCGGTTTAAAAGACTAAACCAATTTCTTTCTGTTTTAATGTTTAATGGTCATAGGAAGAGCTTTTGTGTCTAAAAGTGGAATGTAATTTTGTTTAATACAGTATTCAAATGATTCTGTAGCAACGGTAGGCATACTTACTAGATTCCTGTTACTCAAACAAATTTTACCATGGATTTTTAGCATTTAAAGAGAAATTCTTGATCACTTTCAAATCCTGTGTACAATAAATAATACGTTTTAATACACTGTCCAATGTGTGCAAACCTTTATACGCCTGCTGAAATAACCAGAGAAAACTCAAGACCATGTCTATACGGGGAAACTTATTCTGAATGTATTAAGTTTGACTTCTGGGCACCTGATTTTACAAATTCAAAGTTCTGTGTCCTCCCTATGGGGAAGAATCAGATATAGTCCAAGATAGTGTGTCCACATGAATGGAGCCTGCCTCTGACTAAGATCCGAGTGTAGACCTGTTCTAAAAGAAACTAGTGTATGTCAGGAAATGCCCTGCCACTCCAACAATATCTCTGCAAACATTAATTATCGTGCTAAAAATGTGTTTAACTGAAATTTAGGCATATCATTAAACTTAGATTTTTTTTTAAATCAAGTGTTGTAATTCTAAAAATTAAACATTTGAAAGTCATGAAAATCAAAGGTGAAATTGCATTTATTTTTAATGTAGAGAGAAACTCTCCAAACAACCGTCATTCTCCTATTCTGTCCCTTGAACCCTCCAGATCAGATCCTAGGCTTGTATAAATTAGCATAGCTTCACTGAAGTCAACTTCAGATTGGTTGGCAATTGCTTTGTCTTCTTTTGGAACACTTATTTTGCTGTAACAAGGATATTTTATATCTAGCAGTATAATGTATGAACAAGAAAATGTTGCAAACATGAACTCTGAAGCAGTGTATTTGAGTACATTAATTTCAATTTAAGTAGATTTAAATAAACTAATTAACATGTCACTGGAGGGTTTGATCTCAACTGGGGTAAAATAGCATACATGCATGGTTTTCAATATTGTTTTACTCTTGCTGAAGATATTACCTTCTTTGTATAATAATTATTATTCAGTCAAGTCATATATAGTAACTCCTCACTTATCATTGTCCCAGTTTTAATGTTGTTTCATTGTTATATTGATTATCTGTTAGAGCATATGCTTATTTAAAGTTGTGCCGTGCTCCATTATAATGTTGTTTGGCTGCCTGATTTGTCCACTACTCCTAGGATTTTCTGGAAAAGCAGTGTGAGAGCTTGGAACTAGAGTGGGCTGGAAGCCCCCCATCATCCCTCTTAAACTCGCTGTAAGGTATATGCAGCTGGGCAGCTGCAGTTCAGCTGCCCCTCCCGCACTGCCGTGCTGCTCCTGTCCCCTGCCTCGGAGATGCTCCCAGAAGCCTCCTTCTTGGTGTGTGTGGGGAGAGAGTTTCTGAAGTCAGGATATCCCCCCCTCCTCTATCAAGTCCCTCACTCTGTACCCCCTTCTTCACAAAGCAGGGTATCACAGCTACAGAGTCTAGGGTTGCCAGATCGTTTAACAAAAAATATCGAACCTCCCCTCCCCCCAAAAAAAACACCGGGAAAAAATTCCGTTGAGAAAAAAAAAAAAGGAGGGGAGACCAAAGCTGTTAAACAGGGGGGGGGGGGGGGGGGGAAGGGAGCAGCGCCTTTAAATAGCCCTGCACTCCTCATTCCTCCACCAGATGCGGTAGAGGAAAATTGTCCCCACTCGGTTTCTGTCCTAGGGAATCAGGAAATACTGGACATTTCACATGTCCAGTATTTTCTGGGTTTTTTACCGGATATGGGGACCCGAATAACGGACAGTCTGGGCAAATACCAGACACGTGGCAACCCTAATTCAGAGTCCTAAATAGCCCTGCACTCCTCATTCCTCCACCAGATGCGGTAGAGGAAAATTGTCCCCACTCGGTTTCTGTCCTAGGGAATCAGGAAATACTGGACATTTCACATGTCCAGTATTTTCTGGGTTTTTTACCGGATATGGGGACCCGAATAACGGACAGTCTGGGCAAATACCAGACACGTGGCAACCCTAATTCAGAGTCCTGTGTCTGGACTTCTTGGTCTACTTACAAGGGCAGTGTACTTGAAGTGGGGTCAGTGGACTTAAAGGGGCAATGCATGTCTCTATTTTCTCTCTCTTTCACAGACACAAACACAGTGTGTATCTCTGTTTGCTTCCTCATACATAGGGTATGTGTCTCTGTCACACGTGCGCACACACACACCCTTGACACTATGCTGCTGTGTGTGCACCATCCACAGGAGAGAGTGGTGCACTCTAGCAGCATCATGTGGGTCATCATCCTGTTTGGTTTCTGCAGGAAAGTGTTTGCAGCTACTGCCTTACCTCTGTGTTTCCTCCCTCCAGCCTCTGAGTGTGATGCTACATTAACATGTTAACCCTTGCAAGATCAGTCGAGTGCTAATTCATCATTTAGTAGCAAGATATTGCCTGGGAAATATTCCACCTTCTGACTCCCCCACTTTAACCAAGCTTCGCCATCATCTTTGCGGTGTACAGTATTACACTGTTTAAAACTTGTATTGTATATGTATATACTGCCTTCTGTTTGCTGAGAAAATTTCTCCTGAAACCTGACTTCTCTATTTACATTAACTTTCATGGGGAAACTGGATTTGCTTAACAATTTTGCTTAAAGTAGCATTTTTCAGAAACATAACTATATAATGCTAAGCAAGGAGTTACTGTATCACAATTTGAGCCAGCTGGAGTATAAAATCTTTATGATTTGAGATACCTTGAATCTCTTAGGCTTTAGACTTTGATTTCAGATGTATTTTCCAGTCCTATGATTCTATATTTCCTTGCAGCTTTAGGTATTTTATACCATTTCCCCTATTGTTTAAACAGAGGCTTTGGGGTGTATGTGCGTATCTCTAATGGTAATCACATTTAACATGCCCTTACCCACAGAGGGCCCCCGACCCCTGTGTGTAGCAACGTTACAGAATTTCTAGCGCTTGATGTGGCGGGGATGTATTTGGCAGATGTGTGGTGATTGTGTAAATCTTTGGCTTGTATATGCAGTGAAGACATATAAAAGAAGAACTTATCAGATTTAAGGCTCTGTTGTTCACTGGTTTTTATATAGTTTACAAACATTAGTTCAGTTAGCCTTACAATGCTCTGGTAAGGAAATCTAGCTATTGTTCTTATTTTACAGATAGGAATCTAATCTATTTTGTGGCCCAATAGATTAGGGTCTTCATTTTCAAAACTATGCACACAATTAGATACCCCATTTGCTGCTGAAATCAGACAAAGTGTAAAACCTTCCTCAGAATTGATAGTAATTTAAGAGCTAGAACCCTTGCTTGCCTTCCTTCCCACTGCACCAAAAGTCCATAGAAATTTGCTTGCCTTTATCACAGATAAAATACATATTTGTTTTTGCTCTTGTGTTGCGTGTAGCACTTCATACAGTATGTAGGATTGTATGCCGTGTGTAGCTAGAAGCAAAATGTTGGTGTGAGATGGCATAATTTCTAAAAGAGTCTTTATATTCCTGATGACTCAGAGTTTAGGGCTGGAATTTTCAGCGTTACAGGAGTTTGATGCCAAATTTCACTGCAATTCAATGGGATCTGGGTGACTAACTCCTTTGGATCCCTGCTCCTCTGACAGTCCTAGCCTAGTTCTGTAAATGGCTCGTTTCCCCCCCTCCCCCCATTCTGTTTAGCTAACTGCTTGTGAAGAGAGCAAGACTGACAGCTGTTTCAGAGATTTTAGTGTCTTCTGTATGCACCAAAAGGGGGAATGCTGCAGAGGAAGCGGGATCTTCCATGCTTTAAACCACCAATGTACTTTACATGGAAGGATCGCCTTCAGGAAAAAGGTCTTCATAACAGCTCAGTCTTCAGTCTCTCATTTGAGTCAAGTAGCATTGTGGTGATGATCTTTTCTGAGCAGACAATTCCGTAGGAAGTTGACTGAGACCACCACATTTTTTGTTCTCAGTTTAGTCACTACCAATATGGGATGAATTTGAATCGGTGATTTAGGGGTTGTCTACACTGCCCCATGATTTGGACTATGGGGATGTGGGAACCAAAGTGCTATAGTGTAGCCACACCTGCAGGATCAACAAGGGGAAGCTAAAAAGTTTCTAGCTATCATATTCCTCTTCAGACAGGATTAAACTAATGTGAACTAGAACCCTGATAGTTTGCATTTGCAGCACCCACATGGAGCAGTTATAATGCAGCACTTTGGTACATACTGCTATTCATATAGCTGTACTTTCAACTACGGGATAATGTAGACATGGAGTTACATTATTCAGATTCCCATTACCCATCTCAAATCATACAGTCTCCCAAGGCCCTGTCCTCAGATGATTGAATTACAACTTTCAGATTTTTGTGTTTTCATGCAGCAAAGCTAAGGAGGCGTTGCAAAAAATACAGAAAGAACGTGATTTCCATCGAATGCACCATAAGCGAGTGGTCCAAGAAAAAAACAGGCTCATTAGTGATATTAAAAGGTAAGTAAACCGATCTACTTTTTTACTGTCATTTAACAAAATCTAAGTAAGTTTGGGTTGCTTCTTGGCAATATTATATCGTGGATGAATTTTAAATTGGTACACCAAAGCTAGTTGAATTTAGCTAGCATCTCATTAAATCACAGTTCTGGCCAGCCTTGAAAGCAGAGAAATTATAACTGAGATCTCTAAAATTCAAATGTCTCCAGTGTTTCAGAAATCAGAGGAAAGTTCCTAGGAGGCAGAGAAAAAAGACCTACACACATACATACTATTTGGTACATAAAGTATGTAACGTTCCTTGACTGTCAATTCCCTTTTTTTCATGGTGGTTGGAGAAACTCACTTATTTGTTTCAACTTGAGTTAGATGCAATAAATCAATCTTTTAAAAAATGTCATTCGTTTTTGTCCTTGACACTTGTTGACTATGTTTTGATCTAATCTGTAGAATGAAGTGATGTACTTTTTTTTGTCTCTAGTATAGCAAAAATGCTCAAATATAAACCTGCATTACTATAACATTTTATAATCTCTGCTTTCCATATTGTCTTTCTTAACTTGAAAGAAGTCAAAATGAAGTTTTTTTTAAATCTTTTTTTATAGCTGCATTTACATTTTAGAGAAGGAACAGTAGGCACTATTGATAGGTAAAATGAAGGAGAAAGATTGGAAATATATAAAAGCAAATATTACTTTGCACTTATACCGCATCTTTCAGGGGAACATCTCAAAATGTTGCCCAAAGGCCATGTGTTATTTGACATTCTAGAGTACAGTCTAGAACCCAGGGAGGAGCAGTGTTGCCCCTGAAATGTTGGGTGCTCCATAATGCTTTTCTGTAGTAACTTAGAACTTGATTCACACACAATGAGCCTGCCAGCATGTAGGTCATACTCTGAGTGTTTGTATATAGCTATAGCTCGGCTCCAGCAATTCTGACCCGAGCAGCACTCCAGTCTCATACCTGCTTCTAGCAGCTTTGGTTACTACTTCCAGGGTAACCCTAAGATGTTCCTTGTTCTGAATTTCTTCCCAGAACATGTGTTCTGGACTGTCCACCTCTCTTGGCCACTGTCCACTTCTCTGTCCACCTCTCTGCGAAAGTTAATCCCTGGTGTACTGCCGCCGCTACGCATACCTGCGCCTCTGCAGATATAGGGTGATATCTGATCTTGTTGTCTGCAGATCACCAGTCACAGCCAATGCGAGTGGCAGGAAGCTACATGGACCAGGAAACTGCTTCCCAACACTCATATTGGCCATGAACAGCATTTCGCAGCCAACGAGAGTTACAATCATCCGATATCTGCAGTGGCGCAGGTAAACATAGTGATGGGGGGCTTCCAGGGATTAATCCTGTGGACCAGATTCAGCCAGCAGGCCAGAACTTGTCCACCTCTGGTCTACGATGTGAATACAGGGGTGCATTTTGGTCACAGTATTATCCCCATTTTACATAGAGGGAAGTTAAGGCACAGACTGATTAAGCAAGTAATTCAAGACCAAACAATGGGTCAGTGGCAGATTTTGAAATTGCATCCTTGTTTTAGAGCACAGGGATATGAACCACACGCTCAGTCTAGACAACATCCCGTAAAGCAGGAAGATACTTCTAAAAGTAGCTTTGAAATATTAGATGGAATCAAGTACATTAGTGGAGCATCAACATTGTCAAAGTATTGGTGTTTAAGAGATGTGTGAGCATCATATTGCATTCTTTTCCACAAACACTGTATTCTGTCTGACAAAATAACTAAGATTGTCCCCTCAAGTTCTCTGTGAAGAGCCTTGGAGTGATTTATGATACCTTACCACTATGTGGATAGAAGTTCCTGGGGTGAATTCCTGAAGCACTTAATCCCAAGCCCCTTTAAGTGTATCATTATTAACATACATGAACTTTCCATAGAAGCATTTAATCTTATTGATTACCTGTATTTATTACCTTTAAAAAACTCCATTAGTGTTTGGTCAGTCTTTCTGTCATTTCTATTCAAAATCTAAAAGAATGGTAGCTACAGATATAAGATCTACTTTTTGTTGCTGATATGAGGCTATCTGTCACTTGATCCATTCACAGGATTTCTAGTACTTTACTTCTCCATGCTGCTAATGCTGTGAGCCATTATTTTCCAAAAATGAGCATTCACGCATCTGGCTGCTAGTGGTAACTGTATTATTAATATGTTCTTTTCAAATGCAGCAACCTTCTTGGGGCTGTAACCTAGTAGAAAAGGTTCTCTGAGTAGCCTAAATGTTAGTTATCTTGAAAAATCTATTTAACATTTTCCTCGTGAACATGGTTGTTTTAAGTATTTCTGCACGTGTGGTGTCCTGTGGCTTGCAGACATTGTACGCCCACCTAGCATGGCTGTAACTAGCAATGTAAATGATGAGACACTGCTTAGGTTGAGTAAAATGCCCTACCCACCTGCATCCTAGGGGACATGCCCTAGAGCCATCAGTAACAAGTTGTTGTACCTGTAGAAATCAAGCCTGTTGTGGTAATCCTTGCAATAATTAGTGTTTCTATCCTTGTTAAGTCTCCTGAAACTTTAACCGTCTGCCTGGGATTTGAATTGCTTTAGGTGCAAATAAGCCCACATGGTTATATGAAAATTCCCTATGAGTTCTTTAATATTAATTTCCATAAGTTCATCATTACAGACTAGCTGCTGCTCCTAGAACTGTTGTGCTCCTCTGCTTCAGCTACTATTACTTGCCATTCCTGTGCGGTCCACGGTTAGGCTGCTGACCTAGAGTACATCCCCACTGCAAAAAAGTCCAAACAAACAAAAACTCATGGCTGCAAGTCTCAGAGCCTGGGTCCATTGACTTGGACTTACATTATGGGGCTAAAAATAGCAGTGTAAATGTTCACCCTGGGCTGGAGCCCACGCTCTGAGACCCACCTGCCCCTCAGCAGGTTTCAGAGTCCAGGGGCCAGCCTGAGTGAAAATGTCTACACTGCTATTTTTAGGCCTGTAACATGAGTCCTAGGAGCACAGGACAATTGACTAGAACTCGGAGACTCGCTGCTATAGAGTTTTTTGGGTTTGAATTGATCAATTTTAAAGTTTTAGGGGGTAGCCGAGTTAGTCTGTACAGGTAAACTGAAAAAAACAACAGCTAGACTAGTAGCACTTTATAGACTAACAAAACATGTAGATGGGATCATGAGCTTTCATGGGCACAGCCCACTTCTTCAGATGACCCGAGTGTTGGATGTCTGGGACCAAAATAAATACGGGAGATGGTGGGGGGTGTGGGGGGCATGGAAGAAGGGAAAATTGGGAGTAGTAAAAGGGACAAGAAAAGGCAGTGGGTAAAAAATATATCAAGGGAAAGCGGAGCTGGAAAGCAATAGGGAAAATACCTAAAGACTAGATAATCAAAGGGGGGCAAATTAGAACCATTAATTAGCAAACAACAGAGTCAGGAAACACTTAAAGACTGATGAAACATCTAGATGGTATCATGAGATTCTTCAAAGACAAAGAACCATTGTCTCCTTCATTGTTTGATAAGTAGGTAATGACCTAACCATCCAGTATCTTTGTTTAATCCAGAGGTGTGAGAATTGAATTTGGGAATGAGCTGAAGTTCCAGTCCTTCCTTGTGTATTTGGCTCCTGTAATTGATTTGTAACAAAACAGCCACTTGAAGATCTGTAATGCATGCCCAGGGAGATTAAAGTGTGCTCCCACAGGTTTTTGTATGTTCCCTTTACGGATATCTGATTTGTGTCCATTAATACTTTCCCATAGGGACTGTCCAGTTTGTCCAATATATATTGCAGTGGGGCATTGCTGGCATTTGATGTTGTGGGACATATCTAGAAGTTTCATGATTTTGGCTGACTCTCATTATGTGCATTTTAACTTTACAGTCTATCTTCCTGCAAGAACAATCCCAGTTGTGTCTCTTTTTGTGCGCATTCTGGCAAAATACAATATTCTTGAAGTTGTTAATTATTGTGTTTTGAGCTGAGCAATTTCTCCTGAAAAATAGAGCATTTCCATACTTTGATGCCTGAGTTAATGTGGGAGAGATTTATCTCCATGTTAATTTGATGAAGGCATCTCAATATAGTTTCTACTTGTAATTAATGCTCAAAATTTCATAGTTGATTTCTCTAAATAAGTAGCCTACTTGGTTGTCAAATCCTGTCTGCATTTTTCTTTCTCCCAGTGAAATAAAATCCATCTATACGAAGGAAGCAAAGATTAATAAAGGTTAATGTATGTAATGCATTTAATGTACTTTGAAGATTAGGGGATTGCTGAAAACAGAAAACAGAACTGGACAGATGACTTCAAAAGGTTTTGGTGTCAGGATATATAGATCCTATTACTGAACAACTGATATATAAATATTTTTTCTTGGCACTCCAGTGGGGCAGTTGCATGCTAAATAAGATTAGCTGTCTCCTGTGTTTTGACCTTTCTACTTTTTATTCTTCTCTACAGTACATGGGGGAAAAAGTTATTTAGATGGAAATTGCTGATTTAACTCAGTCATCCTTTAAAATACACTTGGCCTTTTATTGTTCATAGGCTGAAGGCACATTATGTATCATATGAGCCAATGCTGAATCAGCTGACTGAAAAATACCAGAGTATACTGAGACAGAAAATGTTAACCAGCTTGGAGAGAGACAGAGCAGTTGGTCAGGTAAAAATATGGTCTACTACACTGGCAGAAACATACTGGGAACAGATTCATATTTTTTTTTGTTTAAATCAAAGAAAGCTTGAGATAGAAGAAGAGTATTTTTGAGTTTCATGTGATTTACAAATATTTTGTTCTTTGGAAGCAGATACAGGAATCTTGATGTTTCAGTTTAAAGCACCCAGACAAAATACAGAGCATCCCCACTATAAATCCCCCCAGGATACATCTGTTCTGCATGAAAGTTGTTGGCGCTTCTAGGAACTGATATGTTATAAGTCCTTCCATTCCCCGCTCTTAAGTCATGCAGGAAAAAAAAAACCATTTTGCGTAAATGGAAGTCAGCTGTGGGGGAAAAAATTCCCTGCTTTAAGTTGTTCCACCGTAAGTCCAAGGTTTTTGGAATGTATCTTGGACTTATAGTGAGGACAGCCTGAATTAAAGTCCTATCTGTGTTCAGCTGCCCTACATTTCATGTAGTGGAAGAGATAAAGTTTTATTAATGGTTTAAACTGTAAGAACTTGCAATCACCTCAGAAAAAACTTGAAAAACAATGAATAGTCTTGCAGCACCTTAGAGACTAACAAAAATGTAGATGGTATCATGAGATTTATCTGAAGAAGTGGTTTGTGCCCATAAAAGCTCGTGATTCCATCTACATTTTGTTAGTCTCTAAGGTGCTATAAGACTATTCATTAGTCTCTAAGATGCTACAAGACTATTTGTTGTTTAAGTTTTTGCAGTTACAGACTAACACAACTACCCCTCTGAAACTTTTTATCGTCTCAATATCAATGACACACATTGGGTCAGACCAAAGGTCCATTTAGCCCAGTATCCTGTCTGCCAACAGTGACCTATGCCAAGTTCCCCAGAACAGAACAGGTAATCATCTGTAATCTGACAAACAAGCTAGGGACACCATTCCTACCTATCCTGATTAATAAGCATTGGTGGACCATACTTCCATGAATGTATCTAGTTCTTTTTTTAATCCTGTTAAAGTCCTGGTCTTCATAACATATTCTGACAAAATCACTAGTACTGACTCCTAGAATTTGTCTCTCTCTACTAGGCCAACTGTGAGTTGAACAGGGCTTTTACTTGGGTGGAAAAACTGCATTAAATTTTATTCACAGGAATGGGAATACTGAAATGTTCTTCTGAATCATTCTTTCAGCTTTCATATTTGTGAATGAAACATGAGTGAGACTATGACCTAGTTAGAGTACCTATACTGATCCAATATCCAAGTACTGTCATTATAATAATAGATTACTCCTGCAAATCTGTGGATATCTGTGGACCAGATTCTGGATTGGATGAAGATACTCAAGTAGCCCCATAGGCAGGGCTTGACAAATAATGCAATCTACTCGCCCATGGCGAGTAGATTGCAACCCGTAAGAGCTGGGTTCGGGTGATCTGCTCATGCGCAGAACGATCTGCGCACGCGCAGATTGCCAGACAGCGCAGCTGGCGAGTGGGGCTCGCCGCGGTTCGGCAAGCCCTGCACATAGGGATATTATAGATATTTCAGAGGAAACCATCCTTAAAGTTTAGTGGATGCCAAAATAGTTTTAGTCAAATGTTGTCAGTCAAAAGGTTGAAAGGAAAGTGTCAATTTATTTTCATAGTGTCAGGTACTTCTAAACATACCTGTGGAGATGCAGTATCAGTAAACTGGATCTTAGTTTTCTAAGATCACTGCTAACCTCCAGATAATTTACTCATGCTTAAAGAATTATATAGTATTTTCTACCTGGGAATGATCCTAAAACTTCCGCTTCCTGAAGTAGTAGGCACCAGACACTTTGGTCCTCCAAGTGCAGAGATAAAAGATTTGTTTTATCTTATCATGTATACCAGTCTATAGAGATCTTGCCCATTTCGTACAGGGATGGGTTGAGAACAAAT